GATTCTACCAATGTAAACTGAACCACGAGTTGGATAATATAAACCTTGAATTAATGAGAAAATATATTCCTTTGATTGTGAAGGTCCAACCAAAGATAACCATTGACCTTTACTAACTACAAATGAAACATTTGATAATATCATACCATTTGTCGCACAACCAATACCATTATTATTATTATTATTATTATTATTATTATTATTATTATTATTATCATTATTATTATTATTATTATTACTATTATTATTAAAACCAATAATACCACAACCACCACTATTAATTGATTTTAAATTAAAATAAACATTATCGAATGAAATATTTGAATCAGTTGATGGAGTTATACCACCTTGAAAATGAACGATTGGTTTACGATCTATTAATGAGAAAATTCTTTTTGAAGATGATATTAATTTTTGAATTTCATTAATTGAACCAATTAAACCATTCATTGAAGCAGTAATCATTAGTGAATAAAGTATGAATTGTAATAGTAATATATTATTTGAAAGTGTTTGAGACATTGCGAAACCATAAATTCCAATAACCGTACCCATAACTAATAAACTACCAATCGATATCCAAAATGCATTCATTAGAACAAATGAACGTGAACTTCGATGTAATACTTCTAATTCAGTTTCAAAACTTCTTAATTCTTTACTCTCTGCATTCAATAATCTAATTTCTTTTATATTACCAATTGAATCATCTATAATTGACCCTATATTGACTAACTTATCTTGAATATAATTATACTTTGGGTGAATCCATTTATTAAATACTAAAAATGATATTAACAATATCACTAAAAATGATATCATCAATAATGTAACTTTCCATGATAAAAAAAATAAAATTAAAGTTCCACCAATTAATTGTAATGAACATCTAACCAATGTTGATAATGATACTGTTATACAATTTTGTAAAATTGACTATTTTTTATTTTTTTTTTCAAAATAATAATAATAATTAATATGTATTATTATTATTATTATTATTATTATTATCACTATTACTAATATTTATATATAATTAAAAATAACATACAGAATCTGAAGCAATAACAGCTTTTAAATCACCAGTTCTATTTGAATCGAAATATGAGACCTCTTGAGTTAATAAAGATCTAAATAAATCACGTTTTAATTTTGTAACAACACTAAAGCCTGCCATTGTAAATAATAAATAACGTGCAAATAAAAATGGTGTTTGAACTAAAACTATAATGATAATCCATTTAAAATCATACTCTGGATTACCAAAAAGTGATGTATACTTTGATGTTATAGAGTCTAAAATAGTTGGATTTGTTGTCGTTGTTATATTTGGTGTTGGTGTTGGTGTTGGTATTGTTATATTATCTGTACTATTTACATTATTTACTGTTAAATTAACTCTTATTACTTCTTGAATACCATTTGCTAAAATATAATAAAAAATTAAAATTATTAATATATAAATATAAACAAATATAAAAAAAAAATCATATGACATCTTTTTTTTTTTTTTTTTTTTATATTTTTTAAAAAAAAAAAAACTATTTACCAAAACAATAAGGTAATGTTAATTGACATAAAGTTGTTATTGAAAGCGCTAAAAATGCAAATACAAAATACCAAATTTGTGGTCTAATATATGTGAGAATTCTATAGATACATCTTCTTGTTGAATAATTTGTTTTGTAGAATGAATGTTCATCAAAACCATCCTCTAAATAATCTACATCGTCAAAATCATAATCTGATCTTTTAAAATCAAAATCATCTTTATAATCAACTAAATATGGTGAAATTGAATTTAAACTACTATTTAATTTATTTTTATTTTTATTTTTATTATTATTATTATTATTATTATTATTGCCACCTTCGCTTGATTTATCTTTTATTGTTGGTAATGGTGTATCTAAATTAAATTTTACAGAATTCCTTTTTTTATTTTTATTATCTTTATCTAAATTAAATTCCTATTTTTAGAATAAAAAAAAAAAATATATATATATATATATATATATATATATATAATATCTAAGTTAGGTATATTGTTTTATTAAAAAAAAAAAAATAATAATAATAAAAAAAAATAATAAAAAAAAGAAAAAAATATATACAATTGGAGAAGTGCCTAATCCAATTGGAGACTCCTCTGTATTATCCTCATCCAAGTAATTATAATTACTTTTTCGAGTCATTTTCAAATAATTTTATTTATTTTTTTTATTATGAAGTAAATTCGATTTCTTTTTTTTTTTTTTGTGATTAATTAAAAATAATATGATAAAAAAAAAAAAAAAAATATAAAAAATTAAAAAAAAAAAAAAATAAAAAAAAAAATAAAAAATAAAAAAATTAAAAACCACTAGTTACAACCCCTGTGTAAAAAAAAAATTTTATTTGAATTCAATCCATTGAAAAAAAAAAAAAATAAAAAAATAAAATTAAATAAAAAAAAAAAAAAAAAAAAGATGAAAAAAATAAAAAAGGGTATTGGTCATTTAACCAGTTACTAAATATTTTTATTATTTTTTATTTTATTTTATTTTTTTTTTTTGTGGTTATTTTAAATGATCACTTTAATTTTCATT